GATGTTACTTGGATATTCGAGTTTCACTAAGTGACCATGCTTGGACAAATATTCCTTTAAAATATTCTACGCTGGCTGTTAATTCACTTCTATCGGTGGACCTCCATCAAATGGGTTTTATGAAGATTGTACTAATTTTTCCAGCACTAAAATGCAAATCATATCAAAACGGGTATAATTGTTTGTAGGATAGATGTGTGTGGAAACAGCGTTTGCTTTCTCACACATTGCATTGTTGCAGTTATTAGCTCCAATCCGTGCTGTTGGAGGAGGTAAATCAAATTGAATATCAGGACTACATCATTGCATTTGACAGCTGCAACTTGAGCGTATTGAATGCTGGCATTTGTCGAAATGAACATCTCAATCGTCTTCGTCAAGAAACGGATGTCATTTGTCACATCGAAAAATCGTACGAGGCTAAGCAAGAAAAAGGATTTATAAATGATGTAGAAAGGGAACCAAAAGAGGCGGGGAAAGGAAAGAAGAAGAAAAGTTGACGATAATGTCAACTGGTGAGAGACAGATGTTTAATAATTTTATGTGTAATGGGTGCATCGTACAATCCCCAATCCTCAATAAGAAATATAAAATAAAGACACTAGCATTCTAACTGGCCATATCTTGACTTATCACCACACGCAATTAATCACTTTAGTCTGGTGATTTGCAGATTTATTGTGATTAAAGTCTTACGACATTTGCAGGTTGTGAGTTCCAAAAGTCTACACAAACCTTAGAGTGCCCGAACGGCATCAATTATAGGTCCGTCGCAGAAATCGCGCAAAGGATGCCAATGGAAGATTTAGTTATGACCCTATCAGAGAACACCGCAGACACTTGCAATGAGTGCCGAGTGGCTGTAAAGTTCTTACATTTGTGGCAGTAGTCCACGAAAGTGACCCAGCTCAATAACTTATTAGAACCTAATGCAAGAAAGCGTTTATATGCATTTAATGCGGACCAACTCCACCATCTCCAGTTCTCATTATTTCACTTTAATATTGTTCTGACGCTACAGCTCTCATACCGCCAAATGTTGGCTGAATATAATGTAATATATAGTTGGCAGATTTACGAACTACATTTAGCCCAGCGAATTTCAGCTTAGCATCTTACAGGCATGCTTTGAAGAGGGGTCCCCTCTCCTATTCTTCACAATGGAGAACAACACCCTCTTGATGGAACAGCTTTGAGTTTACTGAGGCGGTAGTAGTGAAAGTGAACCAAAACCTTTGCGCATAAAACAATTTAAAATCGCATTGGTCGAATCGGTATCAGCAGCTGCTACTGAATTGTTCTCCACGTCTTTCCTTTCACAAAATCGCACCGTTTAACTTCCTTGCTAACACGTCAGCGACTGCACATGCGTAACATTAGCTCTCCCAACCAATCAACCCCGCATACATTCAAATCAGAACCAGTGAAGAGTCTATTGTTGTAATTGAATAGGGGAATTAAGAAGAACTACGCTGTCATTCTAATGATTTAAGAACTTCCACATTTCCACCAGCCACGCAAGGAAAACGAAAGGGAAGGCGAAGACTGGTTTCGCAATTTCGGATCATGGTTAGCGCTATTAGGGTAGAGCTCTGTTTTAGTGTCTTACGAAGAGGAGAAGGAGATATGCTGCACTTAAAATGCCATACAGCTAAGATTTGTCGCAAGTGGACATAAATACTTGTTAGAAATGGAACAGAGGAGGTAAAGTTCAACATCATGTCTGTGGAGTGAACGAGGTGAACAAGGAGCTGTTCCTTTCGGTCCATGCCGAGTCATCACCAAGACCTGAGTTACACTGACTCACATGCTTACAATGCCATGCCGCAGCGATTAGTAACTCCAGAACTTACAAATACATGACGCGGTGCCAGATAGACTATGACCCATTTTAGTAGAATTCATGTTTACATGATCATGATCATGTGTGCGAAATTTCGGCCACACTGGTATCTATGTATGTACATATTGACAGCACTCGGGCTGATGGAGAGCCCCAGTGAGAGACTTAGTAAAGATCAAGTCATCCGCCCTCTCCTTCCTTTCTCTTACTTCATAAGCATTGATTTAGTGACATTTTTAAATGAGTCTGCTCTCTAAATTCCGACTTCTTATTATGTTTTGTGAAGTACCTTATAGTACACTGCATTTGAACACTGTATGCTCAGCATATAACCTTTCACAAATGTAATGAGTTTAACAAATAACTAAATGCACAAGTTTTGTTTATTTTGTTCTAGTGCTGTTACGGTGTCTTTTTCCTCCCTTTACCATCAAGCTTTTTCCATTACTTCAAGACACAAACCACATTTCCGACTCCGATTCATTATAAGAAGATGCCTTTTACAAAACGCAGACGTAGTGTAATTACAAAGTAAGATTATTTTTTTGCAACAATAAGGTCATGTTTGCACCTCAGGTTCGAGAGCACTTCTTGTGTCAAATGCACACATCATACTGACCTGTGCAAATTCGTTTCTGGTTGCGTAAATTCAAATCCACAACCGAGTCAGTTGTACTCCTTCTTAATAAAGAAATTCTTTACTTTAGGTAAATGCAGAAGAGTGTTAGCAAGAAGACTGTCCTAAAATGGCTGAGAGTAAAGCAGGTGCCGACAATATGCTTTGTAGTCACAAAAGTAGTATGATGTAACAATGGAGGTACTTGATTACGCAAGTGAGAAAACAGCAAACATGTACAAGATTTAGCAAAGTCGGCATGAAGTTAAAGCGGTATTTTTGAGTTAAAGGAAATCAGTGCATTTCTTCGCAGTGTACGCTCTTACCCATTTTTGCAATCTTGGCCTAAAAAACGATCAAACAAACCATTTTACTCTGCTTTTACACCTGGTATGTTTTGTAGCACATGTAAGTGAAGATATAGTTTCTTGTGCTATTAACTCTAAGGTGCAAGCTGCCAAAACTTTTATTGCAGACAGAAGATGCAAAGCACTCACCTCATATGCCTAGGCAAAACTAGCAAAACTGCTACAACTATAACGAATGGATTATGCAGATGCATGGTAAGGCTGCACATTAAAGTAGGATATTGCCTGCGATAGCTTGTGCTTAGCAAAATTAATTGCTCTACTTTCGGTAGAATGCGTATAAAGTCATGTCCGCTGTCTTTGAATTATGATATTCACTGTCTCCGGTGGGTGGCAGAATCGCATTTCTGTACTGTAGTTGTGTTGTATTTGCTCTGCTGTCATTCCCCCATCTACTTATGAGTTTGACATAAATCTGGTTTAACAAAGGATTACTTTAAATGCATTTCACCAGTTCCCTTGAATAAAAATTGATTTACCTGATTGAACAGATTACGAAAGATTGGTTTCCAACAGAAGTAACTTCAATGCATCTGTTTCAGTGATATATAAAGGGAGGTAGGAATATCTTATTTGTTATTATTGCTTTTGACTCTGCCTTATAAAGTTCACGGGAGTAAGTCCTCTTTTACGACGACGACTAGCTGCAACTTAACCTTAGATTTTGGCAACAAACTACTCAGAGTTTCGCCGACGCACCTCATCTGGGTAGCTTTATCTTCGGATCTTGTCAGTAGCTCCAATCCTATCTCAAGGTCCATAATCACTACATTGGTGCCAGCGGTACCCGAATCCGGTCTTAAAGGATACCTACTTTAATTACTATCGCTGAGTAATAAATCTCAGCAAGGCAGAAGAGGGGCACATGCTGCAGATGGGAGACGCTGTGGCGACAACTTACAGTAGGTCTGAAATGACGTCTTACTTCAGCGAATGCGTATATCTATGTTCTGCAGGAAAACTGGTAACCTCCAAAGATGTCCGATGCAGAGATTCTACCGTACCTGTATAAAGCATTAAATAATTCAAACATGTGGTACCCGCTTCACATCTCAACGCCTGTCTCCAAGTTGGTAATCAAAAATGTCCGGAATGATGGCATTTTCAGTCGTGAGTGGTTTGTGTTTGTGTCTACTAAGGCGTTTTTCTCCCGAAACCTCACAATTACGATCCAGCCGATTGGAGCTTCAAGCACGATAGACCTGTAGCAAAAAAACTTATTAATAAATCCATAATAACCGAAATAACATATCTAGTCTGTTTAAACAAGTGAATTTTACTTACACTGAAGTTGCTAGCCGTTTGCTCGTCCTTCAAAGGATAGGCTCATTGCAGAATAGCGAGGGTATTCAAGGGAGTATTTCGCTTCGTTTCGTGGTTTACTGGCATTTGGTAAGTCCTTTTTGCTAAAGTGGGACTCAGCTCCTTTTGATCTTTCACTTAAATTCCCAAAAATTTAAATTTGCAGTTATTCCATGAAAATTATTCGCAATAAAGTGGATGTAGTCTCGCATTCCTAGCACGCCTTCCAGTGCATTAAAATCCACCAGAAAAATCCTATCATCACACTCAACTAAACGGCTTGCATTTCTTTCTCGGCACATATTGTTAAAGGCAGTCGCACTCCTCAGATGGTTTATATCTTATCTCCTCCTCCAGACATTGTTAGATGTGCAGGCAGGTATTACAGAATGACGGAGAGCACGTCACTCAACAAATACACCATTTGTGAGCCCTCAGTGAAGGTGTTGTATTTGCCAAAAAGGCAACCTCACCAATTTTTCATTTCGCAACGTCAGGAACCAGCATTCCTTTTAAACCACATTGGACGAAACCACTAATTTTAATGCCGGTTTTGGTGTTAATGTAGGTTTTTCTCAAGTGTATTGACTCGGCCTAGAATCTTCTTTATTTTCCATGACACTTTCCATCCGGACCCTTTTGCCTTCTCATCAAAGGGACCGCAATTTACCTTATGTCTCCTCCTTCTTCAACCCCCTCTTTTCGTATTAAACTTTTGCTTTCTACCTCGTCTTCTTTTCAGCGCCACTCTCTCACTCTAGTCCTCTTCCTTCTTACACGCATCCATCAGCAGTGTCTGACAATCCGTAGCCCATGCCGGCTCGTCCCATTTCTTCCTCTACTAAGGTCCGCAGCCGCAACACTCACAGTGAATGACTTTTTGGCGCGATGAAATGGATTAGCTGCTGGAATCTGATAAACATCACATTGGAT